TCGGGCCCGCGGGCCGGGGGCGTGCTGCCCGCACGGGAGCCCTGCAGTCCGTCCACCCCGCCCTCGGCTGAGGCCGCTCCGCTGCCGCTGCTCTGGACCGGCCAGTGAGCGCCGACTGCGCCTTGGCGTCCCTTCCGGGGCCTCTGTAGCTTGTTGGGTACTAGGAGGCGAGAACCAGGGTCTCCAGCCGAAGCCTCGCTTCCTCCCGACACTCTCCCGCATCTTTTACCCTTTTAGGGATTCCCGCAGCTCTTCCAGGCGCCGGCACGGGCTTGCAGTCCGGGGGATGGAACCCAGCGCCTTCGCACTGAGCCGCATGCCTAGACGATCTAAGCAATGTTTTGAGACAGGATCTTGGTAAATCCCCAAGTTAGCCAGGCTGGACTCAAATTTGTGATTCTCCTGCCTCAGCCTCCCGAGTGTTGGGATTACAGGCTTGTACCACCTCGCCGGGCCGCAAGGCCCTTGGTAACCTGCCCTCTTCGTACGTTACTCAAGTCTCATCTTGCCCTGCTGTGCTGTGTCTTCGACTCTATTGAATGTTTGTTTTATTTATTTATCTATCTATCTATCTATCTATCTATCTATCCATCCATCCATCCATCCATCCTCCGGTACCGGGAATCAAACTCACGACCTTGCGCTTGCCAGGCAGGCGCTGTGCCGCTGAGCTAAATCCCCAGCCCCTCTGTTGAATGTTTTAGTTGCTAGGTTGGGCTTAGGTGTTTATTCCATGTTGCTTCTGTCTGAGGCACTGCCCCTTGGTTGGAAGAATCCTCATGCTTCATTGTTATTGCAAGTGGGAGTTGGGGCTTCTGCCGTACCCACAGGTGTCTGTCCTGTCCTGTCCTCCAAGCTGTGATCTGCGAGAGGGGTCTTGCCTGGGTCACACCTGACCCTAGTACCTCATGCTGTTCTGCCGCCGTTGTTGGTATGGTACCCGGAGGTTCCTTCGTTAATTTAAGGTATCAGTCAGGCATGACTACCCTTTGGGCCCCTCAGATGAACAAATAGATCAGGCTATTAAGTGCCAGCTTTACTGGCAGCCCATGTAGAGGTTTCTTTAGCTTAGGTTATTTTCTTGTCTCTAGTTCAAAACTATGGCAGTGGCGAATGGGGAAGTACTGGTCAGGGTTTTCTTTGGCATTGGCTCTGGGTACAAGTGTGGATGTGGGTGAGTGTGGTTGCTTTGGGGGTGAATTCGTGATTGAGGGCCCTTGGATGGAGGAAAAGCTGCTGCTAGAGGAAGGCTGGCTTCAGCTTCTCATGAGCTGATAGGACTAATGACGCAGTGAGAGGGAAGGCAGGCCAGGCCAGGCCGGCAGTGGGAGGCCTCCAGGGAAGTTTAGGTCAGATCCCCCCACCCGTAAGGAACAGCTCCCCTGGGTGCCAGACCCCCTGCCCCGATGCAGACCTGAAGGCGTACTACCCCAGTGCAGGCCGCAGCTTATGAGGGACAGAAAAGTCCTGTTCCTCCATATGGGTGGCCCTGGGAGAGGGAAAGAGAAAAACAGAGGACAGCAGTGTGTGACCATATGTCCAGGCTGAATGAGAGGCTCCAGACTGAGGTCAGAGGAGGACCAAGCCAGTGCTGCTGGAAGAACCAGGTGACATCTGAACCTGCCCCAGGCGGAAGAAGGAGTGGACAGATGGAGCCCGTGTGGGCCCAGGCTGTGGGGCAGGGAGGGGGCTGCTAGAGTTGCCACAGTGCCCACTGCTGACCATGGTCCAGCACCTCCCAGGGCTGAGGCTCTTCCTTGGCAGGGGTGTGGAGGCCTGGGTTGTGGTCTGAAGTCACTTTGCAGAGCTGTCTCCGCTCTTGGATCTTCCCCCAGCCTGGGCTTTGTAAGTCTTGAAGGTCAGTGAGTTAGGATCGCCTGGGGCTTATCTCCCAGGCTGTTTGCCCATTGCCTTGAGCGGAATAGCTGCGACTGTGGATGATGCAATTTGTCCTTTGGGGGGATGGAATAGTTGTGTTTCCTTTTGGCTGTGAGCAGTTTACTCTGTAAGGTGGCAGCACTTGGGGTTTTTTCCTTGTGTATGTTTATAGATTTGGCATTCATTGTGTATTAATGGTTAGAACCTACAACAGCAAACCAACATGGAACAAGTTCAGCGATTCTTGGCTTTTACGCTGTTTCCCTTGACGAGGGGATAATTTAGACCCACAGTTCCTGTATTAGTAATCACTTGATTGCATTTTGGCATTACTACCTAGATGATGCCAAAACACATACACACTCCAATCTGAAACACCAAGCATTGGCCTATAGTTAGGGAAAAGGGTGTCGTGGATTCTCTGTCACTCAGCGCAGCCCTGGATCTGATAGACATCTCCAGTTTTATCCTCTGTTGTCTTAACATTAAGACCTGCCCCCGAGCTGTGGAGGGGTAATAATCTCCACAGTCCCCAAAGGACCTCGGTGCCAAGCCTGTGCCAACGCCGAGACTGTCCTCTCCCAGCCGGTAACCAGGTGGTTTCCCAGCTGGTGTTCCCCGCTGTCTGTAGCCCTGGACAGGACCCTTCCGGAGGAAGCGTGTGGGGTGAACGCCTGAGCCAGACCCCATTGAAGAGACATCCGAAGGGCTCACGAGGGGCTGAACCCACTTTCCGATCCCCCTGTTCCAGAACTTACAGGGTGTGTGCTCAGAGCAGGTCCTGCTCTGGCCAGCAGTCACTGTTGGGAGTCACTCAAGACCTTGTTTTCTGGTACTGGGTACGGTGGCAGTGGCTTTGCTGGGGTCAGAACACTTATTTGGTGAAATGGGAGGTGTGGCTTCTGGCTCCCCCTGCCTGAGTTAATTTTTGGAGATAAGAATGGACTGGAAACTCTCCTATCCATAGAAGTTTTGGAACAAAATTATGCAAATGACTATATGAAATACGTATTTGTAAGGAAAAATATGTTTATAGTAGCCACTTTGAAGCAGTAGAAAAGTAAAATGTCATAATCACTCCTAGTCTCATGATGCAAGATGGTCTTTGTTAATAGTTTCTATTGTGTGTGAAATATATACATACACCTTTTTACTTTACAAAAGTGAAATTTTTCTTTTTTGAGACAATGTCTTGTTATGTAGTTCAGGCTGGCCTTGAACTCACTATGTAGCTCAGGCTGGCCTCAAACTCGAGATGATCCTGCTGCCTTGGCCTCCTAAGTGCTCACATTATAGGCGTGTGCCTTGACCCCCTGCTAAAAGTGAATATTTGTCAACTTTGCAGCCTGCTCTTTTTCATCAGATTTATGTTGAACATTTTATTGTGTAGTGTGACAGATTGCACTGTGATGTCACTGCCCAGTAGTAAGGTTAAATACTGTTTCTCAGCACCTGGAAGTTACCCATATTGCCCCTCTAGGGGCAGTGCCATGGAAGGTGTTAGGGTAGATGGGTTTGGGACGTTTTTCTAAGCGCCGTAGGGTGGCATACTCCAAAGAGCCTTTTAGGATGGGTGAGGAGCTGCGACACCTTCCAGTCCCAGGCGACGGGCAGGTGGGGAAGGACCAGTAACTGCCGCACTGCCTTTCTCCTTCCTGCCGTAGACTTGGCTGGCTGCAGTTGACCCCTCAGGAATCAGTGGTCCTCTGTCCAGCAAAATCAACTCTGCCTTTTGGGAAATGAATGTTGTGTTAGCGCTTTTCCTAGTTTTTATGTATTGCTCCCCAGCTGTCCTCCAGCCTACCTTCTGGGGTCAGTTGCTAAACCCCAGGAGGACCAAGACTTCCAGCTGAGCCCCAGTTGCTGACGGCCTGCCAGAGCCATGGCAGGGAATACCCCTGCCCTGCCCTTGGACGGGCTCTGGGGCTGACTGCGTTGTCTTGTTGACACAATTCCAAGTGTTGCCAAGCTGCAGAAGGACGCGGTAGGGTCCTCTCACAGATCCCCTGTCACAGATCCCCTCTCACAGATCCCCTGTGACAGATTTCCAGCGCTCTGTCACGCTTGGGTATGTTCCTTGCCAGTGTCTCGGCCTGGCTGTGGGTGAGGCAGGAGTTGACGTCCTCTTTGCTGCACTGGCTGTCTCGGGTTGGTCTGACCTGCCTCATAGCTTCCCCCGCTCCCGAGTCCTGTCTCCACTCCACCCTGCTTCGTACCCTCCCCGGGAAAGGCCAGATGAGTAGGCTGACGCCAAGTGGGATCTCCTCTCCAGGCAGGAATTGTTCATTGTTCCCATCGATCCTCAGGAGACGTCAGCATCCTGGGCTGGTGTCCTGCACCGCCCTCGGCCTTTGCCCCCAGCTACGTGCTGCCTGCCGCCCAGGGGACAGAGCTGCCTGTACCTTCTGCCCTGCTGTCTGCACCTGCCCCTCCTCGCTCCGGTGCTCCTTTGATCCCTCGGGGCCGCCGGCCTGTCCAGCCGGCCTGAAATGTGGCCAGGCCTGTCAGCATAGTCTGATTTTCTGTCATCCCCTGAACTCCAGCCATCCTTTTTTCTCTAGTACCCCTCATTTCCTACCTTTTCTTCTTCCCCTCCCTCTTCCCCTCCCTTTCCCCTTCCCCTTCGTTTTTTCTTGACTATGCATTGAATCCAGGGCCTTTACCCTGAGCTACTTCGCTAACCCCTTTCTAATTATTTTATTTTTGAGACAGGGTCTCTTTAAGTCACTAAGTTGCCCAGGCTGGGCTCAGACTTGTGGTCCTTATGCCTCGGTCTCCCAGAGTGCTGGGATCACAGCAGGCACCACCTCCTTGCTTTCCTTAGTGCTCCCAGGAGGGCGTGTTCCTCCCCATGGACTAAGCTTGTGGGCAGGATGCATCTCTCAATCCTTCAAGCCCTCCCGGAGCTGCTTGGCTCTCTGAAGGTGCACAGGAAGCATTACGGGGCCCTCCCCATGTGAGGGGTCTCAGTGTGGGGCAGAGCTGGGCTCGGGCCGTTTGGGCCGGTGTGATGCGCTCTTTTCCGGCCATACCGCCGCACTGGGTTTCCCAGAAGCACCATGGGTCAGATCTGGAAAGATAGCTCTGGGGCTCTGCCTTCATCCTCAGTGTCTTCCGTTTCCTAGGTGCCGGTGACCATGCGACCCCTGTGGCTGCTCAGAGCCCCCTTCTTCTGCAGCCTGCTCTGGGCCTTCTGTGCTTCGGGTGTCAGCGCCCACGAGCCTGGGGCCCACGCCGTCCATCCCGGCAGCGCGGGCCTGGATAAGCACACGGTGCATGACCCAGAGTACGTATTCACCCGAAGCCAGTGCAGGGCGCCCCCGTCCTTCCCTCCCTCTGTACAGCTCCGGCGTGCTTGTTTCCGACCAGGGCCTGGGGCGGGGCTGCTGGGAGTGGGTACAGAGGGCACTTATGTCTGAGCCGCCTCCCGCTTGGGTGCTCTTTGCTCACTGTCCTGACACACTGAGGCCCAGGCGGGGTAAATAATTTGTCCGGGTCCAGTCTTTCTCTTTTACCATGGACAGACAGACGTGTGCAGATAGACACGCACATACATGTGCACAGACAGACGCATACACAGACACACGCTATACCGAGCTACTGATCCAGCCCTTTTATTAATTGTTTATTTCTTAAGAACAGGGTCTTGCTAAGCTGCCCAGTCTGGCCTCCAGCTCAGGGCCCTCTTGCCTCAGCGCCCCGAGCAGCAAGGGTCGTAGGCCTGTGCCCCTGCCCTCAGCGGAAGCTTCGGTCTTGACCTTTGCGGAGTCTCGCGGCCTTGGCGTGATCTGACTGCTGTTTCTAGGCATATCATGGAGCATCTTGAAGGTGTCATTAACAAACCAGAGGCAACGATGTCCCCGCAAGAATTGCAGCTCCACTATTTCAAGATGCACGACTACGACGGCAACAACTTGCTCGATGGCTTGGAGCTCTCCACAGCCATCACGCACGTGCATAAAGAGGTAGGTCAGGCGGCCGCTGCGGGAGGCGAGCCAGACCTGGTCTTGTGTGCCACCCTTGTGCCTCGGTAGCGCTGCTTCTCCTTCCTCGCCTGCTGCTCTGCTCTGCCCCGGTCCCGCCCCTTCCCGAGGGCTGTCCTGCAGGGCAGAGGCCCCCGGCTGCCATCTGTACCTGGAGCTGGCGCGTGCAGTTTCCTGCTGCGCAGCAGAGTGGGGGAGCCGTGCCTGGGAAGACAGGCCGCAGCTCCAGTGCAGAGCCAGGGGAAGGAAGCTGCTGCAGCGGAGAGGATGGCAAATCGGGGCACCAGAGCGTGAGGATCTTGGGGTGGCTGAGGGTCTGTGTCGCAGAGGTCAGGAGCAGCAGCTGGTTGGCCCTTGGCACAGCCTCCCCATGTTTTCAGTGAGGAGACAGAAAGCAAGATCTCATTCCTTCAGTCATGTGACCGGGTCGGGGTTTTCTCCAAAGGCAGCAGGGAGTGCTGGCAGTTCGTGCAGGAGGTGGACGGGCTTCGGGGAGGCCCTGTGCAGTGGAGGCAGACAGATGGTCAGAACGAGAGACCCGAGGAGAGAGTGGCGTTGGGAGAGGGGGCTGGGATCGGCGTTCGTGGCAGACCGGGGTACTGGGGGCCAGAAGAGGAGAGGGGCCGCGGGAGATGTGGCAAAGGAGCCGCCCTCGCTGCTTTTCTTTTTTTGTGGTTCTGGGGATTGCACCCAGGGGCTTCACACTGAGCTACATTCTCAGCTTTTTTATTAACATTTTAAAAAAAATTTTAACTTTTTTTTGAGACAGGGTTACACTATGCAGTTCAGGCTGGCCTTGAGCTCACTTTGTAGCCCAGGCTGGCCTGAACTCAAAACAGTCCTCCTGCCTCAGCCTCCCGAGTGCTGGGATTA